ATTGATTAAATTAACAACATGCTTCAGAATTTTGAGGCTTAAAACCCTTGAACAAAGGATTGTCCAACGTGACTGACGTAATGAACAAAAGTGAATACTTACGTTATCCTAACCAAGGACAAACCTTCAAAATGCAGCAGAGAAGCCACCAATATGACCTTTCTGTTAAATGTGAATTACTCTTTGGAAGAGCCAAGAAAAACATGAAAACAGATTGAAGGAATCTTGAACTTTCATTTTCACTACAAGAAAACTACATGGGACCATTCAAGACAGTGCTCAGTACAATACTAAGAAAATATTGGAGCAGTAATAGAGTGAAAAAATCAGTGATCTGTGTATGAAACGAGGAAATGAGGTTGATAGGATGTTTATGTTCTCTCACTCTGAAGATAAGAGAACATTTCAGGTCACGCATTAGAGCAGGTGGGTCATACTGCAGAACATGGCCCATAAAATTGACACATCACTGCACATGGAGTGTCGGAGAGTTATAATAAAGTACAGGTAAACTACATTTAAAACAGAAAACTGACTTTGGACACAAAAACCAGCACACTTACATTCTGACTTTCCCAGAGGGGCGCTTAGGCTTCTTGTCCCTTTTCTTGTAAGCCCAGAACCCTGTTTCTTCATCCTCAGAACTAGTCGAATGTGTACTAGGGCCAGGCTCTTCACACAATCGAAGCTTGCCATGTGGGGCTTTGCCATGACTTTCTGATCCTAAACAATCAGTATCACCCACACTTAGTGACTTTTCTACTTTCACTTTCTTTACAGGCAAGATCTGCTGTGTTTGTAGACTAGACTGATGGGATGTTTTCGAATCCATTTCATCCTTGGGCTTTGTTAGCCATTCAACTTTAGTGCCATACCTTGAGTGAGCCATTGGAGCTTTAGTGCTGAAACCTACTGGAGTACTGAAACTCACTGTAGCTTTAGAGCTGCTATTTGGGAGAACTAGAGAAGCTTTAGTACTGCAACTGGAGCCAACGACTGGAGCTTTAGAGCTGTGAGTTGGAAGGGTAACTTGAAAAGCAGAGTTATGCTGAGCCTACAGGATACAAGAGTGACACAAAAGTGTATATCACAATAGGGGTATCC